GCCTCTTTCAAAATAGCATTTGTCTAGAGCCTGTCTCCTGGTGCTGTTCTTATTTCCTGGTATTTCTCAAAGGGCAGCCACAAAGTCACACTCACCCGCCAGCTCCTTCCCCTTTGTGGGTAAATTTTCTGGGTCTGGACATCCCTCCTTCCTAGGAGGGCATTTCTACCTTGATCTGAGGGATGAGGGCAAGCTCAGCTGGAGGGAGCTGGGAAAAGAGCAGGATAGGGAAAATGAAGATGTCTCTACTCACCTCCACTTTTAGTTTGATGGATTGCGAATTAAGAATATCACATTTATCCAAAGAAACCATTTCTTGGTTTATTACACTATTTACATCATATTCTATTACTATCAGCTGGCATTGCTCTATCTAGAATGTTTGCCTCCTAGGTCAAAAACATGAGTGAGTGTGCAAACATACACAGGTGTTTCGCTTACTCTGTGCTTTGCACTAAGTCCAACTGCTCACCATTATTACACCACTATCATGACTGAGTTGACCGAAGTAGCAGAGAGCTCAACAGAGAGAAGGAGCCAGGGAAAAAGCACAGCCTATCTCTGTAGCCAGCCTGGCTCCTGAGCCTGACAAAATAGGGGTCTCCAGAGCTCATTTCACCAGGCAGAAGAGACTTCAGGAGGCCCCAAGGCTGCCAGCAGGGTCTGGTTCCTCAGCCCAACACACACAACCTTCTGGAATCTGGTCCCCTCTGCCCACAGGCCTTCCACATGAAAAGACTTACCTTTTCTCAAACACACAGGCAGGGCCGTGCTCCAGGTCTCTGCTCCCTGCACTCTCTCTCCACCTGCAGGAGATCCTTCAGGCTCCTACAGTGTTATGACTCTGCTCAGTTACCTCCCTGCAAAGCCTCTCCAGCCCCTCCCAGGTCTGTGCTTGTGACTGACTACACTTGCTGCCTTCTCCTTCCCTTTGAGCGCCAGGGCCCGACTCTCGGAGCTGAGCCCCAACACCAGCACAGGTCAGTCTTCATGGAATGACTATGCTGAGCAAGTGGACAGAGAGCAAGCCCAAAAGCCCAGGTCACTTGCCCTGGCACAGGTGAGCCACAGTTTCTGTGGGGCCACCTGGCTTGCCCAGAATCATAAAGTGGGTTTTGTCGCCACCTATTGCTCAGATTGCTCAGCAAAAGCCAGCCAGGGTCTTCTGGCCTTTGTGGGGAGGGAAAAACTCAAATCGTCTTAAAGACAGCAGCTGGCCTTAGGTGGAGAGAGAGGGGAGAGGCCATTGATGACTTAGTGGAAAGGGCCATGTTCCAAGGTCCTAACTCAGCTCTAACTGCATGACCTGGGGCAATTCTTCCTCCCCTGTGCAATCCACCTTCTATCGAGTGAGGTGGTAAGTTCTCAGTGCTGCTGGTAGAGTCCAGGGAGGGGAGGGTTGGAGTAAGAAAACCGAGGCTCCCAGAGGAGAGGCTGAGCGTCAGGCTGTGTGGTGAGGATGACGAGCCCTTCGGAGAGCCAGAGGCCCCATCCGAACCAGCCCTGGCTCTGACGAGGTGGCTCCGCGTCAGTTTCTTCACCCCTATAAGCCAACCTCTTCCTTCTTTGGTAAGCGCAGGTGCTACCACTCGCCTCACAGAGTTGTTGGGGAGTGACCTGAAGCAATGCTGGGAGGGACCAGGCAGGCCCCACAGACAGCAGCTGACATTCCCCTGACACCACGCTGCCTGGGATGCCAGAGGGAGGTGGCTTCATGGTGCCTCATGACACACATTTTGCAAAAATGCACCCAAGACAAAGACATACACGAAACACAGGAACGTGGTTGCCCATGGGAAGGACCTGGGGGTACAAGGGAGCGAGTTAACAGGAGGGCCTTGTACACGTTGGTGGTGGGGATGCGCCACGGCTGGGAGCACATTAACGCTAGTCTCTGTGGCATGGCTCCCCTGTGGACCTTGGTGACTTCAACATCTAAGGCAGAACCTGGACGCTGAGTGCACAGATGTGCACAAAGGACTCTACACTCAACAGCAGCTGCTTCAGTGAGTGCAGCGGGGTCGGGGGTGGGTAATAAAGGAGGTTAGAAAGGAAGAATAAACACCTGAACCCACGTAGGGTGAAAAGTGGTTTACTGAAAGCAAACTGTGTGATGTGGCTCAATGAGGTCAGCGCCACCTGAGAGCCACCGTAGTTGCCACATGCCACCCAGCTGAGTGGGGAGTCTTTCCAGAAAATCTTTTTTGAAGACTCTTAGTAAAAAGCAGTTTTCCTTGTTCTTCAGGAGCCACATGTCTCCCTGGCAGAAGAGAAGATACCACTGTCCCACCCAGACACGTGTGTAGTGAGTTAGGGGCAGCCTAAGGTGTCCCTCATACTTCTGCCTGCCACACCCCTGCAGGCCCGGCCCCACCTGGCTTCTCCCATTCATCCTCACAGTTTACACAGCAGCCAGTTACTTTTCCAACTTTAAATTGCACCAATAACATACAGATACATCTTAAACATCGTATGGAAGCCCTCAGAGCAAAACACGGACGTCGCCTTTATCTCCCCCGCGGCACTCGCCAGAAGCAGCCGCGGTTGAGTTTGGAGCCCCTTCTTCCCGTCCTTTCTCTGTTCATACACATCGGTGCACTCAGCTTCCATGTGTCATTTATTCTCCAGGTTCCAGCTTAGACTTTAAAGCTACCACGTGTCCCCAGGATAGCGCCACTGTGCCTTCTCTCACCACGCCCCTTCGAAGAACTCAGCTGTCTCCGGTTGTGCCACACCATCAACAGCGGCGCAACACTTTTAGTTCCCAAGTGTAAGTGGTTTTGAAGGACAGAGTCCTACAAGTGCGATTGCTGGGTTGAAGAGTGTATGTTTTTAAACTTTTAATACTTTCAAACTGCCTTCCCAAAACTTTTACCCCAGAGGAATCCTTTAGAAACACCAATCTCACGACATTCCTCTGCTTAATTAAGTTCCACCAACAACTCTTCTCCGAGATGAGGCCTGGAAAGGAGGCCAACAGAGGCTGGGCAGTGATGGGTCAGCTCCCACGACTGCTGGAGGCAAGGCCGGGGAGATGAGTCAAGAGGCCAGAACTGGGACAGAGGAAGTCGGTGAAGGCTGAGAAGTGGAGACACCGGAATGCCACAAAAGACGCAGGAATGACTCTTACACTGCTGTGGCTGTACAGCCACATCAGAGGCTGAAGAAGGAAGACAGACGGCCATTGAGTGAACAGCCTTGCTGGCTGCTGGAAAAGGGAGTGGCAGAGCTGACTGGGTGGAGTGTGGGGTAAGGAGATGGTTCTGATCTGGGTCCTCCTGAGTCTAGAGGGACTTGAGGGACATCTGGCCCTAGGTGGACCCTAGCTGTGGCTATGAGGTCAGAAGGTGACCATCTGGGAACCATCAGTCAGGGTCTCACACCTCTAAAGAAAACCAATCTTCTAAGGCTTCATTCCAGCAACGTGAGGGGAAGGGAGCTCCCAGGAAGGGCAGGGTCTCCCGGGCAGGCCTCTTCCCATCCTGGTGCTTCGTCCCTGCAGCACTGCCCTCACCCTCCCTCCTCAGGCAGAGAGGCAGCGCCCAGCCTGCTCCAGAACAACTTGGTTTCCACCCTCCAAGAAGATCCTGTCAGACAGTGAGGCACAGAAAGGTGGGGGGCCAGGCCACATCCCTCCCCAGTCAGGGGACACCCCAGCCTTCCAGCAAAGCGCGAGGTCGAGTTGGGTCGCACTTGTCTACACCTCAGCCACTGATTGTCTAAATTACAGATGAAAAGCTCTGAAGTGTTTTTTGAAGGGTGAGAGACGTAGGAGGGGCAGCAACAAGAAGAGTAAAACTGGAGGGTGGCCCAAGGGGAGGAGGAAATCCAAGACTGTGGAAGCTTAGACATTCAGGGGAGATAGGGTCCCAGGACGGAGGAAGCTTCAAAGTAGAAAAACATCAAGTACAGTCAAGTCAGAGACACACCCACTGGATCAGATTGCCAAGGGGGTCGGGGTGAGAGCAGTGAGAGAGTGGAGAGCGCCAGTGTAGGCAGCACCCTAGAAGAAGGTTGGCTGGGAAGGAAGACAAGGGTCAGGGAGCATAAACAGGGAGGCCTCGGGGCCGATAAAGGGATCCGAGGGCAGGGCGGGTATTGTGGGAAAGAGTGGGCAGTTCACCTGCTGATGGGAGCGCACAATGGGGTTGGACGGTGGGGGTGGATGACAGGAGCAGAGGCAGAGCTGACGGGGGTGTGCAGGCCAGCCTGGGGCAAGGGCAGGCAGCAGAGGGGAGGCACGGAGGCCCCCCCACCAGGATGCAGGCCGAATCCCTGAGAGGTGTCATGGGAAGGCCTGGGGTGTACAAGTGCAGGAAGACTGACTGGCACCGAGGTTTCTAATTAACTGTCTTGAAACAGCTCCCCACAGAAGGGAGCTGGTTTCAAGGGAACCCAAATCCAAATGCGCAAGCATTTTATTATTAGGTAAATAGAAAAGAAATACTCTGGTTCTAGAAAGCCATGCAATAACCCCCCTTGCTGACCCGACTGGTCTAATGAATAGCTGTCCCTCACCCCACCTACTGACTTTACAAGTTTAGTTGAATTCACACAATTAAATGTATACTGGATCTTGCAAGGACAAGGAAGTATTTTATTTATTTACAACAAAAACATTTGTAACATAATTCTCCCTCTTCAAAAACAGAGAACCCTATAAAATGCACACAGCGATCTCTTGTTTGTATTTACCCAGGGCCATTAAGCAGTTGGAAGGAGGGTTGGGACTGGGAGAAAAGCCAAGGACTAATTCCACTAAAGAAAAAAAAAGAAGAAACTTCTTTAAAAGGAATAGCATTTTTCTACTTGTCAGTAGCAGTACTTCCCCCTACTATGTGTATGAAAATGTGAAACAGAAAACAGAAAACAGCACCTGTGAAAACACAGTTCAGCAGCGTCAGAGATGAGGCAATGCCAGGGCTGTGGAATTCCAGCCTCTCTTCCAAGCAGGCCACTGTGACACCGGACGCCCTGGGGAGCTCTTTCTGCCCCCAACTCCCACCAGTACCAGGGAGAACTCCAGCAGCCTCACTTCTCTTGCTTGCAGTTAGTTGAAGAATCTAGGAATCAAACACAGCAATCAGAAACACAACGGGACTCAGTCCTCCCAGAGAGGAGCAGCTGCAACCTGAAGGTGCTGCCGGAGGTCACAGGCAAGCATTACAGGGGGCCAAAGGCAGTCCGAGTTCTGCAGTGACAACACTGGAAGGGAACTGGGGACAGATGCCATCACTGTACAGCCCCTACTGGATGGATTCTGGGAAATCATCGCCAATTAATATGGTGGCTTTGAAACTTCAAATCAAGAAAGTTTCAACTGCAAGAACAGTTGCAGAAAAAACAAAGGCCCTAAAATTATGCACTTCAACTTCATTTTTCAGATGAGGCCCTGAAATAAGTGACTAATTTTTAAAAATATTTTATTTATTTTTAGAGGCAGAAAGAGAGAGAGAAACATCAATGTGTGGTTGCCTCTTGCATGCACTCCACTGGGGACCTGGCCTCTAACACAGGCATGTGCCCTGACTGGGAATCAAACCAGCGACCCTTTGCTTCACAGGCCAGCACTCAATACCAGCCAGGGCAGTGACTAATTTCTCAATGCAGGCAGAGCTTTATTTATTAGTCTTTCTCAACTGTTCCACAGGAAGGCATGACTTCCTTAACCATTTAAATATGAAAAATACCCCCAAAGAGCTGAACATGTAAGCAGCTGCTTCTCAGCGGGCTACTACCACAAACAGCTGTGACAAACCTTGGGGCAGCACAAGCCACTCAGGATGTAACCAGGTGAGAAGCCTGGACAAACCTTTCACAGGTGGCTCTATGCACAACCGGCATCTTACCACACAGACAACACGCCCATGCTGACGGCAGAGAGGCAGTGTGGTAGGGTTACAGGATGCAGCCAAGAAGGGGACCCAGAAAACGGGATTTGGAATGGGGTCCAGAACTCAAGGTGTCTAGGAAATATTAGAAACACACATAAGATGTCCTTCCCCCTTCCCCCACAGCTGTGAGTTGGGGGAAGGGACACATGGAGCAGGAAAATGCAGGGCTGTTTTGTATAGCCACAGCCTTGCAGCCAATCCACAGCATGGCCATTTAACATATCTATCGCCTTTGGCAGGTCACTTGGATATGTTAAATAGCTATGGCCATGCTTGGAGCCAGGGGGATGGAAGTCACTCCCCACCAAGATGTAAGGGGGGGGCAGGTCCCCTGAGTTACAGCACCTGGTGGGAGTTTGGAGAAGATTGGCTCCATGCCATGGGGCCACACCTGCTCAGACTCACTATGGCAGCCCAGTAAAGATGGAAGGATACAGGAGTGCTGGCAAGTATAGGCGATTGTGGGAGGAGTTAGAAATGGGGCTGCAGAGAAGGATTGGTTCGGGGATTTAAACCCCGACTCGACAGCCATTAGAGAGAGGACCACTGGGCTGTGGCAGAGAGAGAGCCATGTGCTTTTGGACAGAGTGGGGACCCCTGCAGCTGGGGGTAGAGAAAATCACCATGCAGCTTTGGCAAAGGACTGCCACTCAGCTTTGCCAGAGTGGCAACCCTACCCTCTCTGCAGCTCTGGTGGAGAGAAGATCCATGCGGTTTTGGTCAGAGTGCAGACCCCTGTGGCTTTGGTAAAAGAGGACCATGTGGTTTCAGAGTGCTCCTTTTGGCCACGTGGCCTGGGAAGCAGGAAAGACTTTGCCTGGAAAATGGGTACAAAGAACTCTTGCCAGTAGACCATGAAAGGTGCCACATGGCTTTGGAGTAATTTGAGATCCTGCCTGGATGGCGACACAGCTGACGGTGCCAGGAGCCTGGATCCAGGATGTTTGCTTCTTTTCCTGAGTTATGGTACCTCAAATTAGGACAGGGGGAGAAGGAAGCACTGTGGGCGTCTGTGGGTATCCAAAAGGACTTTGATATTTTGGTGAAGATGCTGGGTCACTACTTTAAGTCTGTATAGCGGTAAATAACATTTTCTTTCCTTTTCGCAAATCTCTGGCATTGAGAGACATCTTTCCTATAAGGCGGCGGACATAATGAACCTGGGGGAGTCCTTTCAGTATTAGTATACTGTCCTCGGCCCCCTCCGTTCAGTAACAGTTTTTGGCATTCCTGGGTGGGCCAAACAGTGACCCCCCCTTGGCCCTGTATGAGTACCTGTTCTGTAACAGTAGTTTCTCTAAAACCCAAAGTCTTCTAGGCCCCACTACATCCTGTTTGTGATTCTGGGTGAGTCCCACGTCCTGTTTCCTCATCTAGAAAATATGTGCACGTCCTTCACGGAGCTGTTACAAGGCCAGTGTGACCATTATCTGACGAGGGTACATGATGGAAGCTACGTAAGGACCTGTTGGTAGTTCTGCAGCTACTGCCTGCTTATCGCCCTTCCTGCCCAGTTCCTCTGCATCCAGTGCTAGCCAGAGTGCCAGGTAAAACACCGACACACAAAGGGTGCTGGCTGGCTGGGCCTTCCTGGTACTGGCGGACTGGTGTGGGCAGCGGCCTGGGCCATCCTGGGGGGTTGGGGTCTAAGTAGGAATACTTCCTGCATCCCCTTCTTGCAGGGTAGTTCCTGGGGTAAGGGGAGGAACTCGCCCCGTGACACTCCCCGCTGAGCAGCGGCAGCGGCAGGGGGCACGGGCACCGTGCAGGGCAGGGCCATGCTTCCTCCTTAAGTCGTCCATCGAGCTTCCCATTTAAATCTGGTGTGAAGAATGCTTTCTCCTGTGCCTCTGAATACAACGGCACTCTGCTGAGGAAGCCTTTGTTGTCTAGCCTTTATAACAAATTACAGGAAAATATGGCACTAGTGAAATTCACCTTACAAGTCTTAAAGTCACCACTCATATGGAACTCTTTTTAGTGGGACAAAGAGATGAATAAAGAACAAAATACATGTTATGAAGAAAAACAAGTTGGCTATGGGGACACGAATGACACAGATTTCTGTTTCAAGTAGCGTAGCTGGAAAGAAGCTCTCTGAGGAGGAGACCCTTCAGTAGACCGAGCTCTGTGAAAGATCGGAAGGGCTTACCAGGCTGCAGAAATACTGAGGCGAAGGCTAAGAGTCAGGAACACGACCAGAGTGTGTGAGAAACAGAGTGTGTGGAGACCAGTGTGGCTGAGGGACCAGGAAGAAAGGCGGGAAATGACCCTGGGGCACCGGCAAGGAGTCACCTCACACAGGGCCACAGGGGCATCGAGAAGGGGCTCAGGTTACACTCATAGAGTGCAGCGGAAGCCACTGGAGATTTGGAACAGAGAAATGAGTTTAAAAAATATATTTTATCTATTTATTTTTAGAGAGAGGGGAAGGGAGGGAAAAAGAGAGGAAGAAAAACATCAGTGTGTGGTTGCCTTTCACGCATCCCCTACTGAGGACCTGGCCTGCAACTCAGGTATGTGCCCTGTCTGGGAATTGAACCAGTGACCCTGTGGTTCACAGGCCAACACTTAATCTACTGAGCTACACCAGCCAGGGCAAGAAATGACTTTTTTTTAAAACTTTTTTCTTTTTTAAAGATTTTATTTATTTATCTTTAGAGAGGAAGGGGAGGGAGAGAAACATCAATGTATGGTTGCCTCTTGTGCGTCCCCTCTTGGGAACTGGCCTGCAACCCAGGTATGTGCCCTGACTGGGAATCAAACCACGATCCCTTAGTTCGCAGGCCTGCGCTCAATCCACTGAGCTACACCAGCCAGGGGAATGACTTTTTAAAACAAGACTTTTTCTGGCTGCTTTGTGAAAAAGAGACTGCAGAGGCATAAGAACAGTGGCAGTGAAAGCAGCCCCTTTAACCTGGGCCAGTTCATAGACTGCTCTGCCCAAAACACTAGGTCGTGATGCTGTGCCAGCTTCCCAGTCCAGGCCTTTGGAAGCTGGCACCTCACTTCCATTTGTCTGCAAACCCAAGCTGCCACTTAAGTTCAACTATTCTAAGACCTCCACACTAGAGAGGCCATGTGTGGGCTTCAGTAGACAGTCCATTCAGGTGCCTGACTAGAATGAGGGCCACCCAGTCACTGAAGTGGGAAGCGTTTCCTGTGTTCTTCTGGGCATCCAGAAGAGAAGGGGATGCAGGCACGACCACATAGAATGTGTGAGGGTAGAAACATCGGAGACACCTTCCTGGCCAACCCCAAGCAAACCCATGGAGAAACGATGTGCTGGCAATCATTTTACAATGACCTCTGATGCGGTCATACTGAGAAATGTCCAGCCTTGGGGCCAAATCCAATCTGAATTCCCCCTGCTCCCTTGCGACCGCAGTCCAACATGAGTTTCAACAGGACTCGCAGTGTTCAGGCCCAGAACCTACTGTGAACTGAGAGAGAGCTCCAGCCACAGAGTAAGGGCAGAAGAACGTGTGGAACAATCATGCTACTACTGATGGGATTCAATTATTCCACTATTCATGCCAACTTTTTGTTACACATGCAACTCTCATTCTATCATTGAAGTGAAGAATGAATTGATTTACCCTATATAGATTTTAACCTTTGTTCAGGGTATTATATGTGTTAAGTCAGTAAATGAAAGACTTGGGCAAAAATGTTTAGATATTTGAATAAAAGTTAGACCCCTATTTCAAATTAAGGATGTAAATAAACTGCTGAGAGCTGAAACATCTAAACATACAAAAAACCAAACTATAAAAGCACTAGAAGGACACACGACGCTGTGGTCAGTTAGGGAGGAGAAATGTAAATCACTGGGCGGCCCTTCGCCCCAGCAGGATGGCTGTGTGCTGGTCCCCTTGGCTCCTGTTCACCAAGCTCTTGGGTTCCCCTCCTTCGCTCTCTTCCCAAGTCCAAAAGTCCCCTCCAACTCTTCCCCCTGAAGCATCAAGCAGCCTGAGGGAAAAAAATCACTGCTAACCTATGATGAAGAACAAATTCGGTTCCCTTTTGCCTCAAATTCTCCTACTCGGATTAAAGGTCTTTCATTACAAAATGTGCCATCAACACATTTCCTTAGGGAAGGAACTGTGCTTTTGTGTAAGAGGAGCTCTGCTGCTCTCCCGAAGCACCCAACTGAAGATGCACACTCT